TAGTGGGGTCTATCTATCTTTTTATTTTATGTTAAGGATTTAGCTTGCTTCACGGTCATGAGCATCACTTTGCCAAAAATTATGTGTAGTTCCTGTAATGTGGTGACCCTGGAACACCTGACTAATGTTGGGTGGGGCGCCCTCCCCTTTCTGCTATCTACTAGCTGGTGTTTTTGGAAAATAAAGGGTGATACAGTAAAATCTTCTGATATCTTAGTGGGGGAAGAGTGGAGGCAGTCATATTTGGACACTAGATGTCAAGTGACCAAAGATGATTCTTTCATATTAAAAATATCTCTATTTCCCTGTTCCACAAATGGAAGAGTCATTTAGGTCAGCAGGCTACTCTTGCAAAGTGAAAAATGCTCCCCAAGAGAACTCCATTGGCATTTTCGTGAAAATTACTGTAATCAAGAAAATAGCTTCTAACTGGTACCCTAGAAGTTGAAAAGTTTGAAGTTTGATGGAAGATTTTTCTAATTTTCTGTTGATGAAAATTGGTGTGTAGTAGGATGTGGTAGTGGCATTTTCTCCTACTTTAAGCAGATAATACAATTTTGATTGAATAGAAACTTAGCATCCTATTCAAATAGGGAAAGGGAGTGGTAGCCTTGGGGGTGCTTTTGGAGGACTTTCTGAGTGTTCAGAGGCCCTCAGGAAGGCATGAGTCTCTAGTGTGCAGTGGAGACCACTGAGGCCATGGAGGGCGTGGCATTCTGTATTGTCCAGGTAAATCCCACTCTTCTAGGTTGTGCATAAGTGTCTTTTCTATTTTATGGATTTATTTCTGATCACAGGTTGTCCCCTATATTCTCTTTATCCGAATATAAAAACTATACATTTTGAATTTTTTCTGGCATTTAGTATAGCTAAAGTCTTCAGGCATAATGCAATGATTTCTTTTCCTTAAAACAACCCCAAATCCCTGAGTAGCCATCAATTCTTGTGGAAGAGGTAGCTACATTCTCATGTTCATGGTAGCACTACTCACAATTGTCAAATTATGGAATCAATTTAAGTGTCCATCAACAGATCAATGAACAAAGGAAACGTACACACATATCTATATAAACAGGATATGACTTGGTCATCAAAAAGGAAACTCTGTCATTTGTAACCACATGGGTGTAGTTAGAGAGCACTGTGTAAGTGAAACAAGGCTCACACACACAGGAAGACAGATTCCACATGTTCTCTCTTTTATGTGAAAACCAAAACAGTTGAACCGTCAAGCATCCTCTCAAAATGAGAGAGCACAGAAGTACTCTAACAGATTGCATACTCATGTTAGTTTATGGAAAATATGAGTCTAAAAGGGCAAGATTGTGCTCATCTTGTTGCATGTTCCATGAAACACCCACCCGAAATGCCAAAGACACTTGTCATCAGACATTTGAGAAGACAAAGCCAGTGAGTGGCTGCAGCCGTGTTGTGCGGAGTCATTAGTATCCTTGTCCCTCTGAGGAAGCTGGGCCAGTCACTCCCTGCACGAAGTGAAGAGCAGAGTTCACTAGGTGGCTCTGATGGGCTCTGATAGGCTCAGGGTTCTGATGGGGTCAGTGCAGCTTCCTCTTCCTCTGCTCCGCCCAGTCTTTCCCAGAATCCATTCCCCGCCCTTCTTTGTCCTCCACCTCCCTGCTGTGTTTAGAGAGTGGAAACACACAGGAGCCTGGCAGGGAAGAAGGGAGAAGCCAGGCCGTTTCCTCTCTGCCCGGCCCTGTGTAGGCACCAGCCACCCACCAGTGTGGCTGTGCCCCACTGTGATGACGGCCCTTCCTCCCCTGCTCCCTCCTTGGGCTGGTGATGTCTGCTTCCTGTGGTTGCCTGTCTCTGGGCACCTCAGCGTCTCCTGCAGATCCCTTAGCTCCACCCATGTCCCTTAACTGAACCACCTGTACGGAATTCTGTCTCTTACCACCATCTCCACTGGAACCTGGAAAATGTTATGTTCAAGACTATTTGACTTAAGTTGATTTAATGAAGTTCATAGTTTGCCCCAGAGCTTTGATTATTGTCATGAATTTTTGCTGTTTGAGAATCCTTTGGTCATCTGTCCAACCGGGCTAAGCAGTAGAAAATAGAGTGTTTGTACCAATTCTCCATGGTGAATTTATTTAATATGCATCATATACTAATTAAAAAGGAAATGGAGGCTTTCCTCTGAGGCCTTTTTATCCACTGTATTTCCCTGGCACCTCCCTTCCTTCCTCTCTTCTGCTGCTTCCCCCATCCCCGCAGCCCACCTCACTATCTGTTCTGCTTCTCATTCTTGTGTGGCTTTCCTCTCCCAATAAATTCTCACCTTAGAAGGCAGAGTTTTCTAGTGAACTATGCTTGTCAGCACACTTTTCTTTCCTTGCATACCTCCTGCTGCCATCTATGCCCAGAAATCTCCCCTCTTTCTGCTCTTTCATATACATTTTTGTTCACCACAGAATGTTCTTTCAGCTCATCAAATAAAAAACCTGGTTTGGCTCAAATTGGATGCCACTTCCTCCATGGAGTTTCCCCTTAATTCCACTGGTGACAAGTAAGCCCTTCTCAGTCTGTGCTTCCTGCCTATAGCACCCTTGTTAGTCAGCTGTGAATGATGTTTGCTGAGCCACTGTCTCCTCCCTTCTGCTAGATGATCAGCTGGAAGCTAAACCAGCAGAGGAAAGTGTTTCTTGGAATTGGGAGATGAGGCTCTGAAGCCTACCATATTACTAACTTTGAAGATGATTTAATTTTTCTGGGATTTAGAATCCTTGTCTACCAAATGAAGGAGTTGAACCATGTGTCATTGAAGGGTTTCACACACATTAATGCTCTGTGAGGTTTTTTAAAAAAAAATCAGACTTAGAGTCTGGCCAGTGAGATACGTTTGTTACCTCTCTTGCTTTGCTTCTGCTTCTCCCCGGAAGGGAGCTGGGTGTGTTCTCAGGGTCCGTGAGCTACTAGTGATGGGATGGAGAGGGTATTGTAACGGGAGTTAAGAGCATTGACTAGGGGTCATTCAAGTTAAAGTTTGAATCCAGCTTTCTGGTTTTAAGCTGTGTGAATTTGGGCAAATATATAAACTTTGTACAACTCAATTTTTGTTTATATAACAGACTATAACATTTATCCCAGATGGTTACTCAAAGGTTAAGGAAAATAGTTAATTGAAAGTCTCACAATAAACAACAAAAGTCTGAGCAGTACAGATCCACTTTCTACCAAGAACAACTGTGGGAGTTGTTTAACCAGGACAGAGAAACTTGTGCATAGTTTTTCACTGCAGATCCATCTTAAAATCACCTGGGGAGCTTAAAAATAGTCACCTGAGCCCTTTGTTATGGTTTGTGTCTAGATGTCCTCCCAAAGCCTCATGCGTTTTAGAATTGTTTTGGAGGTGGTTGAATCTAGAGTGTGTGATTAGTTTGTGGTACAGTGTTGGGATTAAGGGTGCTGGGATTGAGGGTGAGTGATTGCTGGATCAGTCCATTGATTGGATTGGCACCACCCTAATTCCACTAGACTGGATACAATATAAGGAACAGAAAGAGACTGTCTCCTCCTCTCTTGTTGCTTTTTCTGTCTTCTACCATCATGAGCTACTGCCCCTTTGCCATGTACCACCCTTGGAGCCAGCTGATTATGAACAAAACCTCTACAAACTGTGAGCTAAATAAACATTTCTCCCATTATCTTTGGACATCAGGTATTTTGTCTCAACCACTATCTTTCCAGTCTACCTTATAGTTCTAAGTAAGTACTCTAAATTGCTCAATGTACTTATCAGGGTCACCTGAAAATTTTGCTAGATCTAGCTTGATCTGCTTTAGGTCAATGAGAGACAGAGAGAGGGAGAGAGAGGAATGTTAGTAGTCTCATATATATTACAATTATAATTTGAGCATAAATAAGAGTCATTTCTTAATGTAAACAAAGTTCACACATAAGGCAATTCTGACCATTTCCTTTCTTTCAAACCTACAGTATGATTCTAGTGGTAAAAATACATCATAATTAAATATTTCTCTTTGCATTCCATTTTGTCTCTAGAGGGTAGGCAGGTTATGCACATATGTAGAAAAACATTAAATGGCTCTTTTTCGTCATGTAAATGTTGACCATGTCCCCATGTTTAAGAATGTATTCTAAAGGAGCAAGAGACTGTGACTGAGTTCCTCATGTCTCCGTACAATGATCTCAATGGAAGACCTCCAAATGATATGGGGGAAAGAAACTCCCAACCTGCTAGATGTCCAATATGCGTTTGTGTCCTCTAAAATTGAAGACTGAATTCTAGGAACAGCAGCGGTTAAAAGCAGAATATATTTATTGGTGAAAGAAAGCTTCCGTCTGAGAGAGGGACAGAAGGGTCCTGAGTGAGTTGCCCGAAGCTGTTAAGGTTTTGCTTGCCATATCCGATACTTGTCCCTTTTAATTCTCTATTTCAAGAATATGACTCAATACCAAATGTATTTCTTTCTGTATCTGAGAAAGTAAATTTATGATTCATAATCTCCCTCATTCTCACTTTGTGTCTTCCAAGAGATAAACCAGCCGAAGCCTGTTCCTGACTTGTACAGGGGTGCAGCTTTAGGTAGTGTTCTGTCCTCCACTTTTCCTGTCCACCAAAGGGCAGTGATCTAGAGCCTAGCTGTGTGTCCGGAGTGCCTTTCTGGACCCTCCTTGATTCTAGCAATTTTTGGAATACTCCTGAAGATTTGGCACTTTGGTCTTCATGGTTAGTGAAGCCAATGGAAAACAAACAAGAAGGGAATGGGTGGGAAGAGGTCTGCTCCTGGGGGACAAGGTGGTGGGTACCCCATTTGGTGTCTGGAGAAAGCTGAGTGCAGTGAAAGAGAAGAATGTAGCAGACAACTAGAGAGATGAGGGGATTGACTGGTAGAGAGGACTCACTGCATTAAGGATGGAAGATTTTGACTATAAGGAGCTACTTGCAAAGGAATTTCCTGCAAATGATTCACAGCACAGCCTGTGTGAACTGATCACTCCCAGCATGCCTGGTGCCTGACAGTTTCTCCTGCACTCAGGAGACTGTAGGACATTTTCCTAACTGCAGAGGAGAGTCCCCAGTTATCCAAGGAGGATTGTGAGCAGTGGGCTGGTCTCCCTGGCTTCAAGAGCAGGGTTGATGATAGGATCTGTCAGAACGGTTCTACTGACAAAAGTAAGATGATTGCTTTTTCTTACTATTTTAAAAAATGATCTGTGACATTTTCCTCTTCTTTGGTGAAACAAATTATAATGTTTTTTTTTCCTAGAAATCTCTTTTTCTGTTATTATCTCCTGTTTTATAACATAAATGCATATTATTAAATAGAATATTACTTCCTTTCAATAATGTAAAAACTCTCAGAAGTCCAATTGCTTTCCAGTAATGTGCCAATGAACAATCTATGCTTACTGACCTCTGGTTATAAATGAGGCTGGGAAGTTGGGGTGTAAACAATTCAAAGGTGGTGAGGACAAGATCCTAGCTTTAGAACATCTCACCATCTGGATAGGCTCAGGGACCAGGGCCCTGGACTATCTATGTACATCTCAGTCAAGGACAAAGCATCATTATGGTTGTGATTTAGCCTCTTGGCCAGATGTGCAGAAGTGTTGAATTGCAGCTATGCACAAGCATTTAAATAGCTTAGCTTTGTCTAATTGAGGCTCTGGGTAGTTGGGCAAATCCATAGCTTTTAATTTCCCAGCATTTGTATTTTCTAAGTATTTTTGATAAATTCCAAAACATTGTGGATAAACACAGAATCGGATCATTTGTATAGGAGTCACTTTGGATTCCCTGTATGTCTGGGCTCTGGTGGCCTCTTAGCTTTGTCCATGGTAGAGGCTGTTAGTGCTCTGTATTGTATAAATATTTAGAAGGAGATGAAGAGAGACACAGATGTAAGACCTATCTGACACAGATTGAGACCTATCTGGTGGGTTGACTGCAGATACAATTGTGTGTCTGGTTATTGCTTTGAGCATTTAGAGGAAAAGTACCGTACTCACTTATCAAGCATACCCTGCTGTATGAGGAACACTTACTTCATAGAGCTGTACCAGGGAAATACACAGAGCTGTACACTTAGGGCTGCTGAGGTATGTCTATTAAAGAATTTAGTTTAGGGCATATAGCAGAAAAAATTTTTAATATGCAGATATGCTGATAAGATAAGCCCTATATTTTTTTCTCCCAAATAAAGAGAAATCTCAAAGCAGGCAGTGGAAGGCTCCATGAAGTAACAGAAACCCAGACCCATTCCCTTATTCTTGGAGCCCAGGTTTTATACAAGGTAGCTGCAGAAACTCCAGGGAGAGGAAGAAGGAAATTCTAAAGCCAACAGGGCCACTGGCAGTTAATTATGCCTTTTTCTTTGTAATGTTAATTTTGTATATCTATTTAGTGGGGCCACAGGATGCCCAGATAGTTAACCAGACATTACTTGGAGTATTTCTGTGTGTTTTGGAGTGTCTGATTAACAGCTGAATCAGTAGACTAAATAAAGCACATTGCCCTCCCTAATGTGAGTGGGCTCCATCCAATTAATCAAAGTCTGAGTAGAATAAAAAGTTTGAAGCCTGTTGTGCTGGTGTATACTTGTAATTATAGCACTCTGGGAGGTTGCATCAGGAGAATCACAAGTGCAAACCTAGCCCAAGAAACTTAGTGAGAGCCTGTATCAAATTAAAAAAAAAAGTTTTTACTTTCCCTGAGGTGAGAAATAATTCTCCCTATCATGGCCTTCATAATGGGTCTTGAATTAAAACATTGACTTTTCCTGGGTTTTAAGCCTGCTGAGCATTCAACTGGAGCCTATACCATTAGCTTTTCTGGGTATATTGGTCAGCTTTCTACTATAGTAACACATAGCTGTGATAATCAAGTTATAAGGAACAAAGGCTTATGTCAAAACTCATGGGTCAGAGTTTCAGTCCATGGTTGTTTGGCCTTATTGCTTTTGTGGTAAGGAAAAACATCATGGCAGGAGGGTGTAGTAGACCAAGCCGCTCATCTCAAAGGAGCTAAAAGTAACAAAAAGAAAAAGCAAGAGACCACGGTGCCCTTTGAAAACATGTTCCAAGGACCTGAGGTATCCCATGAGGTTGCACTTCTTATTCAAAGTTTTGTCTCCTCCCAAGAGCACCACACAGGGAACCAAACCTTTAACACAGAGGCCTGTGAGGGATTTTTTAGATCTAAACTGTAACATTAGGTAATCAACTTCCTGATTACAGATTTTTAGGACTTGTCTACCTCCTTAGTTGTGGGAGTTAATTCCTTGCTATGTATCATCTTATCACATATCATATCTTATCTTATTTTATCTTATCCTATTCTATATATAACTATCTACCTGTTTATCTATCTGTATATCCCATTGAGAATCCTAATATGCTAAGGAAATTTCTGAAATGCATGAGTCAAGAAATGTTCCCAGATAAAATCTAGGAGGCTCAATTAAATTGGAATTGCAAATAAACCACAAATCACTTCTTCTCATACAATATTTGGGTCATATTCATACTGAAGTTACTTATTTATCTGAAATTCAAATTTAGCTGGAGTGTTGTGTTTTCATTTGCTAAACTGGAATCCTACATCTCCGTGCCTGTTTTCATAGCCTCTAACTGGGTTATATAACATGGCCACTGCTATTGGCAAGGGAGGCTGAAAAATAGAGCCCTTTTAGCTGGGAACACTGTTTCAACCAATAACAGAGGTATTGTGATAATAAAGGAGGAGGAGATGATGAATACTGGGTATTGGGTAGGTAATGCTTCTAAAGTTCAGGCCACCCTTTTTTCCACATGTGAGACAGGACTATGGTTTAGCTCTGAAATGTCCCCCCAAAGTCTTAGGAATTCAAAGATAGGGCTTTTGGGAGGTGATTAGATCCTAGGGGTACTTAATGAATTAATCCATTCAGGAGTTCATGGCTGAATGTGCTGAAGTTAGGCCGAGCTTGAGGTACGTCACTGGAAGTATTATCTTGGAGGGGATATTCTGGACCCCAGCTCTTCCCCTCTCTTTCTGCTTCCTGGCTGCCATGAGGTGAGTTGCTTTATTCCAACACATCCTCCCACCATGCTGTCTCTGCCTTGGAGCCAGATGACTATGACCTGAATCTCAAAACCATTAGCCAAATAAACTTTCCCTTCTAAACTGTGGGTGCGGAATATTATGTCTTAGTAGTGAGAACACTAATATAGCCAAGGACATATATCTGTATTTATAAGTTATTGACAGTTATTGCATGATAGGTTCTTGCTTTGGGTCATGCAGCATGCTAAGATCTTCACATAAATTTTCCCATGAAATCTCCACAAGAATATTTTTGCTACTTTTGTTTGGCAGTTGAGAAATCTTATTCCCAGGCCCAGTCTAGGAGAGATTTAGGAGTTGCCCAAAGTTGCCCAGCTCGTACATTAAAGAACAAGGGCTAGAATCTGTGTCACTTTGATTCCAAAATTGGTGCTTTCAGCATTTTTCTCCAACAAGTCTGATAATAATTACATCTATAATTTACATATGATGTTTACTGTGTCCATATCATTCTGAGGTAAATCATTGGTGTTATTTTGTTTCATAATAAATATGTAATATCTATTACTTTATCAATTTGAAAGATTGAACCAAGGTTGAATTTGAAAGAATGAAACCAAGGAACAGAAAGAAAAGTAGTCCAAGGTTGTCCAGCTGTAGCTGACAAAGCTTTGACATTAATCCTGTCGTAACTTCTAGGCAAGGGGTTACCAAATGTGGCTGCACATTGGAATCAAATGGGGGGGATTTATTTTACTTATTGTAGTGCTGGGAATGCATATGCTAAGTGTACTTTTTAAGCTCACTTAGATTTTAAACCTCTCAATAGCCAGGTTACACTCAACATAAATTAAGTCAAAGCCTGCGTGGCACGAGAACCAGGCGTCAGTAGTGTCAAAATATCCCCAGCAATTCTAAAGCTTGAGAATCAACTCCTAGACCATGTTGTCTCTTGAAAATAAGTGAATGAAGTACAAGTGGCCAATAAATGCGTGAAAAATTGTTCATCATCGCTGGTCATTAGAGAAATGCAAATTAAAACAACATTGGGATACAGTGTTACTCCACGAAGAATGGCTATCTTCAGGAAAACAAATAATAACAAATGCTGGCGAGGCTGTGGAGAGAAGGGAACCCTTCTACATTGGTGCGGGGAATGTAAACTAGTACAACCATTATGGAAATTGGCATGTAGATTTCTAAAAAAACTAAAAATAGAAACTCCATTTGACCCAGCTATTCTCCTTCTAGATAGCTTCCTAAAAAAGTTGAAGTCATTATATTACAGTGCACATGCATACCCATGTTTGCGGCAGCACAATTTATTATAGTTAAATTTTGGCAATTAGCCTATATACCTATCAACAGATGAATGACTAAAGAAAATGTATTTATACACAGTAGACAGTATACTAGTCTGTCATAAATAAAGATAAATGTGAGGCATTCTTAGGTAACTGGATGCAACTTGAGGCCATAATATTAAGCAAAATAAGTCAGACACACAAGCTTAAATATCACATGGTTTCTCTTAGACAAGAAACTAAAATTGAAAAAATATATATATAGAAAAAGCAAAGTAGAAGATAGATAAATAGGAAATAGCGATCTCTTTTTTAGACAGATGGGTTAACAAGAGGTAGAGGAGATAGGGTGGGAAGGAGGGAAAGGAGATTGAAAAACATAATTGAAAAAAAAAGTGAAAACAAGGTTCTTGCAATATGGGAAGAGGACCAAGAGTTGGAAGGACTAAAGAGGGAAGGGGAGAGGGTAAAGAAAAAAGAATTAGGAGGTGTTACATACACATACCAGCTCCTCATAATAATGCCATCACTATGCACTGTAAACATGTAGTAATAAAAAATAAGTGAACGAGACCAACCCCTAGACTGAGGGGTACAGGACGGCCCCCCACCCTAATGTGTCCCCCCCCCCCTAGATACCAGGGCAAAGAATCCCAGGTGGGAGCCTCCCAGGCTAAGCAGATGGGATTCCTTATCCTGCAGAGCAGGTTTCCCTTTTAATTACAAGTTGCCATCCGAACCTCATAATTCAGAAGAGGGCAAGCTAAAACATTACAGGAGAAAGGATTAAATGAACATGATTTACTGTTATTGTTATTTTTCCAT